CTGAGGCCGACGTGCAAAATAAGACACGATGACAGCAGAAGCCCCTCATTTGTTGTACCCTTGTCCCGTGTGCGACGCAGACATTTTATGATGGCGTGGCAGCTCAAGACGTTGGGGATTTCATTTTAGCCGATTTCCATCAAATTGAAAGTAACGAGAAATGCRGTGAAGCAATCATTTGTCTTGACATGAAGTAATTTGCGACTTTTTGCTACATGGCACATGCAATTCTGCTTGTACGGTAAAATAAGACCCTGGTGTCCAAAACAGACCGTGTGTTCAGCTTCTCATTTTAGCCTGCAGTCCGGGCTGGACTTTGGGAAGGAATGTTTAAAACATTTGTGGGGGTGGCTCAGCTGATATACGTGTCAAAAATAGGCATTTCTTAGCAGAACAAGAAACCTCAGCACACGCAGGAGTGGATATTTGTTCATACTTAAAATTTGTCTTCAGTTTGCGATAAAAAGCAAAAAAGCAGTAAACTCATAGAGCAGTCAAGGTTGCACATCATCACTTTAGATCTTGTAATGTGTCACTGCTTCTGACACTACAATCTCTACAACAGCATTTTCTCTTGAAGACAAGTACTTATTACATTTCAACCAATTTATGAAGTGAACTGTAGACTCTGAAATTGCAGCCCTGGTTCTACATCAAGAAAAAAATGTTTGTGTTTTCTGCCATATCTGACAGTGTGTCTGGTTATAATCTGTACCGATGTCTTGATTCAATTTGAAGACTGCTCACTGAATCCTAAATGACTTTTGCAAGCAAGTGGTTAGTTTTGGTGTTAAGATCTCATCTGAATTTGAAAACGTCATTTTGAATGGAAAAACTGGGAATGCATACTTGTACTAGACCAAGGGTGTCCAAATCTTACACGTTTTAGAGGTTTCTCTGCTCCAGCACACCGGATTTGAATGAATGGGTGATAAAAAGGGTTCTGTAGAAGTTGAAGAAGTAATTCAATAGCTGAATCAGGTGTGTTGGAGCAGAAAAACAAGTAAACATACAGGATAGAGGCCCATGAGGACCAGAATTAGGCAAGTAGGGGTCTCTGCAGTACGTAAGGGCAGTTTCTTGGTGTTTGGGTAGAGTTGTCCTAATTGTGTTTGGCAGAGTTTTGTGGCATGGACAGAATTAGGAAAAAACGTGATTGGCTGGATTGACTTGTCTTGTAGAGCAAGTGAAAAGATAAAATAGTAACATTTTTGTGACCATGTAAACATAATTTATTGACTTCAAATTTGATACATATTCAAAAATGGTTATCTTTTCCAGGTGGGTTAGGACTGTTTTGACCAAGCCAAATTGCTACACATCCCTCCACATGTACGATGTTCCTGTCTCGAGTTATGACTAAAATTTTATTTATATTTACAAATATTGACACTTTCTGGCCATTTTGATCACGCTACTACTCCCCTCAGCTACCCAGCGTTTAACCAACCAAATCATTGACTTCATCAAACCCCACCCAAAATAGTCAATTTGACYRGATGTCTTTGAAAAGCTCCTCCCACACAAGAAACAGAGACCTCCTTCTCAAATAAGACACCCCTGCACTGAACAAAAGAAAATACAGTGAGTTCTGACTTGATTGTTAAAACAATTACAACAAAAGTTAGAATTAGCAAAACTAACTAAAAACTAAATGTAATAAAAACAGTAGCCAAAGCTAGAAATATGCAAGTATTCTAAAGTAGATTTCAAAGAGCACAAAATATTTTAAGAATTAGAAGTTGTCCATTCCTTTCAAAAATACAAATTTAAATAGTAAAATATTGGTAAATGCAAGTTTAGAGACTTTTACAAGGTAATTATGGGAACAAATAGATTTCGTCCAAAAACTAGGTGATGCTGTTTGTTCTTGCAAATAACCATAGACTTCTTTGTAAATAATCRTGTAGTTCAAAATAGCATTTGTATGAACAGCTGACCAGTTTTAAGATCAGTAATCCATTTTGGTCCTGGCCCAAACCGAATTAGCCTTTAGCTCATCAGTTTGATTTGAATGAAATTATTTCTTCCAACTGAAGATGTGCTTAAAAAATGACATGTAAGATATTATTCATTCAAAATCTTTCAACAAATTTCTCAAAAAGACCCACATTTTAACTAAAACTAAATGAGCAATAGATGAACCAACCCTACAGTTATACGACTGAACTGCTTTCTGGTATAAAACCCACCTCTGTTACTAGAATGACCAAAATGAGTTAAAAAGCAAAGCAGCTTTAAAAACATTGCACTTCATTTGTCGGAGGTTCCTGGGATGATTCATTGTGGCTGACATCAGTAACAGAAAAACYAGAGCAATGGAAATCTGTTCAAATGTGGTGAGACTCAATTTCCCCATTTCACGAGAGAACTGTGGATAATGTGTTGGRCCCGGACCAGCAGGGGGTAAAATGGCTTCATCAGTCTTTCCGAGTCAACGTGAGGTAGAGGGAAACAAGCGAAACGCCGATGCATAACACTGACATTTTTTAATAGAATTCATTTATAACAAATGGAACTTGTGTCAGCAAAGAACTGATTTTCTTACAGACTTCTTTTTCCACCAATGTGACCTAAGTAAGAAAATAAAAAGCACTCCTTTCATTCAGAAAAAAAGAAACAGTTTACACTTACAACTAATCAGAGGTAATTGTATAATCTTTTAACAAGCCATGTTTTTTTCTTTTCTTTTTTTTTTTTTACAATTTCATTATTTATTTATCAGTCTATGCATCCAGACGAGAGATAGATAGAGAGCAGAGAACACAATGTTTACTTCTGTTAATGACACTCCAAGCTTGAATGGCAAAGCCACGAGAACAGATGGTTGAGAGACAGATTGGTCTGAAGTCGTCTGCTGGAGTTACCATGGTATCAGATCGGATGCTCTTTCCCCCCACCACGAAGTTTTTCTTTTTTCCCCCCAAAAGGGTTCATACCTTTTCTGTGTTATTTACAAACACACAAAGTGAGTTTTTGAGTTTGTTTTAAATCGATGGGTTCAAGTAATATATTATTGGGCTTCGAATCAATAGGGCAGTGCATAGTACAAAGAGAAAGTGCAAGTCTTCCCTACTTTGACCAGTTTTGGCCACTCTGCCATTCCTTATCATGTATTTGGAATTTAAAAGAAAATAAAAACAGATGAGAAAATAAGCATGTTCTGAGACTTATGACAAACATACTGTAAAATAAAACTCTGCTTTAATTAATAAGAGAAAAGAAAGCACCTGGAATGCACATCCATGAAGCTATTGAAGTAAAGTTGTAAACAATCGTGTCTCAGTTAGGAAAAAAAAATGGGCATGGCACACAGTTTAGAATCGTCAGAATAACAGAACGAGTATTTTCTTTCTCTTCATCTGCGCTCCCATGAACTCAAAAAGCCACAAAGAAAGAAACCCTTCAGTGATGATTTGTGTATCTTATCACCAAATTTATTGTTTTTAACCCTAAAATGTGTTAAAATTTTCATTAACTTTATGACCCTGTCTGCACAACTTCTACAAAAACTGAAGTTTCTGATGTTTCAACCTCTTGCCCACATGAAAACTGTTTTTTTTCTTTTCAATGAATACGTGCCGACTTGAAATGCAAAGGTTTTGAGAATCAGCTACACAGCAGCCATTTACACACATGCCCAACCATTTGTTGCCTTGGCAGCCAAAATAACAGCAGAACGGTTTCCTCTTCTTTTTTTTAACTCTGTCTTGCTCTATCATGATTCTTTCTAAGCAAAGAAGCTACAGTGGTGTTGGGAAAGATTTTAACCAAGGAAACATTTGTTCTTTGTATGGTAAATGATAATGTAGTTTTCCTTTAGTGGCGCTTTCAATTATTTTTGATAACAAAACAAATAGTCTGTTTAAACTATCTGGAGTGTCATAAATAGGACCTATTAATACTGATTTGAAACAATTTCAACAAACTGCAAGAATTATAGTGTCTATCGGCTAAAGAACTAGTCTGCTGTAGACCTCTAAGCATGTTTATAT